GTTCATCCCAGGGCCTGTGGGGCCAGTGAAGCAACCCCAGTGAGGTCAGGGAAGGACAACCTGGGCCTGGCAAGCCTGCCTGCTGGCCTCGCATCTGGGGAGAAAACATTGGAAGGAAAGCAAGTCTTTGCTGTGTACGCTGGGGAGTGGGGGTTCCTGCCCCTTTAGAGACAGGCCTGGTCCAGACATCGCCCACTTTTCCAGGGGTGGGTTCATGCAGTCACTGGGGGGACAGGTTAGTGGGAGAGTCAGGGCAACAGTCTCTTGAATTTCTTCCTACTCGAGCTTGCTGTCTTAAGCTTAAGAACATGAAAAAAAATTTTTTTTTTAAAAAAAGAAAATGTGTCTTTGCTTTTGGAATTTCGAGGGCGATTAAACAGATACTTGGAAGCAGGACGTTGTATATAAGCAAAGTGTTGGTCTCCAACTCACCTGGACTGACCACTGTCTGTCTGGGAAAAGTCAACCACGTGCTCCCAGCTGGTTAGTGTGGAGGGTTCGCCCTCCCCTGGCCCGACTCTCTCTCTCTCTCTCCCCCGCCCCCTGTGTGTGGTGATAGCAGGCGTTCATTGTCACTCAGGTCTGGGCGCACGCTAACCTTGGCCGGATCGCTGACTGTTAAACCATCTGGCAAAATATCACATTTCGACAATAGGCCTTTTCTGTATAGATGGGGCGGAGGGGGCAGTGCTGGGGTGCTGGGGAACCCCTTAGGCGTGGACAGTGGACCGGGGCAGGGTCCAGGATCCCGACTTTGAATGGAAGGGGTAGGGATGGATCTGGGGGCCTGCTCCTTAAAATAGAAGTCGGCCCCCAAACCAGCACCCCCCCCCCCCCCCCCATTTCCAGAACCTGAGTGGGGGAGGGGGCTGCCGCCACCCTGTGAAGACTCTGGCACCCTCCCTGCCGCCCTCTCGGTGGGTTTTGTTGTAATTAGACAAGTCGTGACAAACATCCATTGCCCTTTGGCTGGGGAGCCGTGCGGAGTCCTGCCTGGAAACCCAGCCTCCTTCACTGGGGAGCCATCATTAGGCAACAGAAGAGTTCACGGGCCCTTGATTCAATAAAGACCCTTTTATGATGTTGGTTTTTCCCAGAAAAATATTACCACTTTGCCCCGTTGACTGCATTTAGATGTGTAATCGTATTAGACTGAGCAGCCCCGGGGACTGAGGTTACATAGTTAGGGTTTTCACCAAAGCCTGTTCCCGGGCTTCAGAGGGAAACAGTGTCCTTGGGAAAAAAAGAAAGAAAGAAAGAAAACAACAAGAAACGTTTTGGAGGATTTTCTTGGCTTTTAAAGGACGTTGTCTTCCATCAGGGTGAGAAGTGACCCAGGATACAAACCAGGAAGTGAAACTGATTCGCGGGCCAGGGTCAGTGCGGCCCTGCCGGGCCACGGGTACTCGTCTCGCAGAGGGTGCCTGTGTCCTTGTCCCCCATGACGGCAGGACTGCAGGTGGCCGTTCTCTGCCCATCCCGGCAGGCAGCCCCACTGAAGGTAGTGCTGGAGGCCTCAGCGGCTTCCCGTGGTTGGGAGGGTTTACCTCGTCCCTGCCCACACTCACTAGACACACCTCCCAGGCATTTGGCATCGGGAGGAATGCAGGTCCCCTCCCCACACAGCCATCCCCTCTTCACTTACCCCCAGAAGACACTGTCGGGTCAGGCAGGCGAAAAAAATGTTTCCCGATCCCTCCTCAAAACCTTCCCAGGTCCGGGGTTCGGTAGAGATCCTCAGGGGGGTCCAGAACCTCTTTCCCAGTTTTGGGGTGTAGAAATCTTGGGCACTGAGGAGATTTCCGGGAGTCATTCGTAGGAGTGCCCTATTACGAAACAGAGGGTAGGACATTTCAGAATGCTAAAGACACAGTGCATTAAAAAGGGGGGAACCCATTCAATTCCGGGGTGTCTGTTGGGGGTCGTTCCTGAAATCTCTTTTCGGAGATCATCCTTTGGTGCAGAAGAGCTGCATTTTATAGGAGGTGGTTCGTCTATGGATGGTGTGTATTAAGGTAGTTTTTTTCAGTATGACTATCTTAAACTTCGAGGTGATTTTTTTAACTTCTATATTTCCCATTACAATTGACATTTGGTATATTAGTTTCAGATGAAACCTTTATTGTTGAAAGTATTACATTACATATGTCTCCCTCCCACCCCCCCGCCAGCACAGGCCCTCACCCCACTGGATGTTTTACACTTTTTGGAAGACGTGCCATTAAATTATATATATGTATATACATGTGTATATATAAAATATATATTTTTTGTTTTTTTCACCCAAAGGAGTATAATTACCACATATGAAACCAGATTATACAATGGGTACATTTTTCTAATTAGCTGTCAGAAATTTGCAATGAGATAAATTATTTTAGATTTCCAAATGAAACGTTGACCACAGGGAGGCTCTGAGGAAAATTAACAAGGGTTTTCCGTTTTGGCTACCACCCACTCACCTGCTCCCCCAAAACACCGATGTGCCTGCCCTTTGGGCAGCAGCAGTGACCAGAAAATGTCTTTATTGTCCTGGTCCCGAGTAAATGGAGTTGGGAAAATTACTATGTTGGCTCTTCTCTGCCCCTGACAGTGGAGCAGGCAGATAGATGTCTTGCTACATTTTTTTCAGTAAGAATGGTGGTAGCTGTTCTTTGGAGAAGAAATTCTGGGGACGTGAGTTCATCCCGTTGGTATTTTCTGTGTGCCTTGTGTGTGGGGGGGTGGCCGTCTGCAGGGGTGGGGATGTCCAGCTGAGACCAAGGAACAGAGTCCAGACCCGGCGTTCACACTTGTAACTGCAGGACTGACCCACAGTCCTTTCTCCGAAACTCTGAACTCCAAGAAACTGTGAAAACCAAAGGTCATTTGGAAACGAACTTTATGGGGAAACCTGACCCGAACTGACTTGAGACTCCGCGCAGTGTAGTCTGTATTTATCTCGGTGAGTGTGAATATCCATGGGTTTCGCTGCAGACAGGAATGCGTTTGATTATGGGTGCGCGTTGTATAATGTGTGGTATATGTACCGCGTTGCTTTCTAAAACCTGGAAGATTCTGGAAGGTTAGGGGTAACAGAGAGCAGCCTTGTTGCAGGAGCATCGACATAATGAAGACGGCAGCAGCTCTGTGCCAGAGCTGGGGCCAGACTTGCAGCCGACCAGGGCTCTGCTCCTTCCGCTCTGAGCAGCCTGTGGCTGAATGAGGGGCCAGCTGAGCGGTGGCCCTGGGAGCCCTGCCCCCACCAGGCCTTGAACTCCATGAAGGCTCAGCCAGTCTCACTGGTCTCCTCAGTGCCCCCCGCATGTGAGGTGCTGAGGGAATGCTATACAGGTCAGAGCAGGGGTCAGCAAACATGATTCGTTAAGGGCCAAACTTGAAATATTTTAGGCTTTGAGGCCCACGGGGGATCTCTGTTGCAACTCTTCTGCTCTGTTATTGTGGCGTGAAAGCAGCCATAGATAATACATCAATGAGTACCCTTGTGTTTTAATAAAACTTTATAAAAACAGGCGGAGGGCCTGGTTTGGGTCCACAGTTTGCTGACTCCTTGGGAGAAGGATAAATGTGTCCTTAACAATAGACTCTTTTCTTCCCCATATGTTAGTCCTGCTGTCTGCATGCCTGTCTGCTTGTCTGACTCCCCCTGGCCCCCTCAGTGGAGGTAGATGTTGCAGCTGTAACACCAGCGCTCACCCCTGGCTCAGGCTCCTGGACAGCCTGGAAATGTGGGCCAGGGAAGGCGCTGGCCTCCCCGGCCTGGCCTGGGCAGCGGGAGTGTGCGTTCGTGTGGACAGATGCATTCGGGCGCCGATCCAGCCTTGCTGAGGGGCACTCAGACCCCCACCCACGGATGACTTTTGGGGGCTGAGCCAACCCCCAGGAATACTGGCCGCCAGCACCAGGCCAGCCGGGCTGGAGAGTTTGCAGAGCGTGGTGCCGAGGGGGTGAGAGTGAGGGTTTAAGAGACAAGGTGTTCTTAGCCAAAGAATTTCAGGTGGAGAGATTGGTTATCGTAATTCAGGGGCTCTGATGGATGAGATTCAGGTCTCCAGGCTTTGTTCACCCCGGGTCTGACCGGCAGCAAGTCCAAGAAAGCTTTCCGCTTCAGCCGAGCCCTCTAGCTCCCACCTCCACGGTGGGCTGGCCTAGGGCGGGTCCCTGCAGAGCCCTGGCCCCTAAGCTGAGTGCTGGGAGTGCCAGCATCCCTCTGCCCAGCCCCACCCCACCCAGCTCTCTGTGCCAGGGACGTTGGCCCCTAACTAGAAGCGGACCTGGCTCTTCAGGCCCTGGGGCCAGACCCTCACAGCCAGCCCAGGCCTTGTATGTGCCCAGCGGCTTCTCTGTCGGAGGGATTCCCCAAGTTATGCTGGGACTACTGCCCTCTGCCCGACCACCTCCTTCCCCAGGCAGGGT